GAAAGCAAGTCGCCAGGTCCAGGACTTGAACCACGGTTGGCCATGTGGGAATCCAGCGCCTTTAACCACCATGCCACTTGCCGACCCCAACCTATCTCCATTTAAATACTATGTCCTTTAGTAACTAAAGTAAAATAATATTTTAGTGAAGTAAATATAGACGTTTACACACATGGGCTATTTTCATGAATTATTGGGCCTTTTTAATAAATTTAATGTGTAGTTGAAGTTGATGTGCTATATTTTAGAATGATCAGAATTATTTTTTTACTAAAAAGTCAGTCATGTTTAATTAGGCTTAATATATGGAATCACTTGTAGGGCTATTTATGATAGGCTAAGATAAAGAGGTTAAGTAAAATTGGAAATGTTTATCTCTGATTTAGTGTTTGAGGTTTTGGACATGATCTTCAAGTCTTTTCAAGTATTAAAAACTGATGGAGTTGAGGAAAAAGGATTTTTATTTTTAATCAACTTAGGTTTGTATATCTGTGTAATACAGTTAAATTATGGCTAATGCTTTTTTAGCAGTGACTGTCAACATACTTAGTCAAGAAGTAAAAGAACAAGGAGTTGGGGTATTATGTAGTTCTGACTGTTGACTGGCAGTTAGTTAACCTTTTTGACTCTTTTAATCTTGCGGAGAAGACTTACATCTGTGTTTTCCAGAATTACATTGTGACATTGAAAGTCACTTAACTTCCTAAGATTTTTTTTTTTTTTTTCATGTACAAACTGGGACTAACAGAGCTAATCTGTTTTGGGCAGATTGCTGTGATCTTCAGGCAGCATATGGGCATTTGTAGTGATTGCAGTTTTGACCATCTCCTAAAGTGAGCCTTGCTTAGCAATTCTCATACAACTCTGTGTTGTCCATATTTCAGGGATAGTGGGTAGGGATTGGATTGGAGAAGATATTTAGAAGTTGGCCTCTTCTTCACATGCAAGTAGTTTTGTATGTGAAAATGGGAATAGGCCTGAAAACAGAAAGGCATTTTTAGATGACAGAGTAAAAAACTTTATCCAGTAACTTGAACAGTTCTGGAGCCTTAGTATACTTTATGACAGCTGTGGTTCAGACTCTTTTTTTTTTTCTTTTAGGAATTATTTGTTGGGGCCAACAGATAATATAGTAGTTGGAGCACTGAACTCCCACATGGCCGACAATGGTTCAAATTCCAAACCTACCGGTTTGAAACTCAGGCCAGGCATATGTGTGCATGTACCCCAAATCTCAAGATGACGAGGGGTTGTGGTGCAGTCATTCCCCCAGGGGATTTCTCATTTTCTTTTTGTCTGTCTCTGTCTCTTCTGTAACATACCCTATAGCAAAAATCTCTCTCTCTTAAAAAAAAAAAAAAGAACTGTTTGCTTGTTTATTTTTAAAATTTGCTGTAGGACATGCATGCTCAGCAGAGATAGAGAAAGAGAAAGGGAGAAAACAAGCCACCAGGTCCAGGACTTGAACCATGGTCAGCCATGTGGGAGTCCAGCGCCTTAACCACCCCATGCCACCTGCCGGCCCCAGTTCAGTCTGCTGTTACCTTGGTACCTGCATGAACTGGAATAGTCTATTCTAGTCAGTATCTTTACTTGATGTGTTCTAGATTCAGGTTTTCTCAGTCTTTAACACTAGAACTGGTAATTCTGAGTTAACATCAGCTTTACTTATTTCTTTGTTCTAAACCTCATTCGCTTCACATTTAGGGAGAACTCAGAAGCCACCTATGACTCAGGACAAGTTCTTTAGATTTACTTACTTTTCTCTGGTGCACATAAAGTCTAGGGAAGTACAGATTGGATAAGAATCACTTTGTTTCATGATAGGCAATGTTTGTTAGCAGTCAGTGGAGTAACACATTCTTAGGAGCTATCACGGAAATGTTCTTTTATAGATTTTAAGAACAGTGTTTGATGTCATTGGCAATTGTGAACTCGTATTTCCTAAAACATAGCTTTTAAAATGTTTATGTTATTTTCAGTGTAGGGATTTACTGGATCTTAGAACTTAGTTACTAGAACTTATATAAGCAACTGGTCTAGTCATACCTTCAGGAAATGTTCTGTTATTTATGCTTTTATTTTAGAAGAAAAACATTTTGAAATTGAAACCAATAAAATTATGAAAATGATAAAACATTGTGATTTTGGGGAGGAGACTAGTATCATTTAACAAGTATAGAAATTGCTTTCTTTTTTTTTTTAAAGAGTTATTTTATTTAACTTTATTTATTTATTTATTTACTTGTTTATTTCAGTTTGACCGGAGAGAGACAGAGTGAGAGAGAGAGAGTGAGAAAGCAAGCCGCCAGGTCCGGGACTCAAACTGTGGTCGGCCATGTGGGAATCCACTGCTTTCTTTTTGAAGAAAGTTCTCATTTGGTTATTACATCTCAAGATAAGCTATAGCTCTGTGTAAATTTAGTAAGGTACACATTTTAATATACAGTTGCTAATCTAAAACTAATATATAGAAATCTTTCTTTGCACTTGCCAGAATCATTCTGCATCCCAGCAGACTCACCAGTCAAAAATCAAGTAAGTGTTTCTTTTTATAAAACTGTGTGATAAATATGCTTAAGATGGAGGAAAACTCAGTAGTTTAATAGTAAGAAGCACTTACCCTGTGATATTTTTCTTTAAGAATCATTTATCTAGTTCTACTTGTTTTTTTTTTTTTTTTTTTAAGAATTATTTACTTATTTTAATTTGACCAGAGAGGGATAGAATGAGAGAATGAGTGAGAAAGAAAGTGAAAAAGCAAGCCACCAGGTCCAGGACTCGAACCATAGTCAGCCATGTGGGAATCCAGCATCCTTACCACCATGCCACCTGCTGGCCCCAACGCTGTGATTTTAAGTATTTCATAGTTTTGTTTTATAAATAACCTTATGAAAAGTTTGTTTTTATAATTTGCCAGAGGACACACGCAGTTACTGCAGAAAGAGGGAGGGGAAAGTACTGCCAGTGGGGCGTGGTCATGCTACAATCCCTTCTCCCTCACGTGTCCATCCCCTCAGGATTTTAAGTACACAGGTACACATGCCTAGCATGTTTTTCAAACTGCAGGGTCTGGATTCGAACTTCAGGGTCAGCCATATAGAATCTGGCTTCCTTAACCAGCAGGCCATGGGCTGGCCCTATTTTAAGGTTTATTTATTGATTTATACTTAAGTAAAATTCAAATAACTTCTTATCTTTAAAGTTACTTCACCTAATTCCATATTTTGTCACCTTCCCATATGTTAAGGAGAGCATGTCTTCCAGTAAACCTGATGTCTGGACTCAAACCGCAGTTGACTATATGGGAGTCCAGTGACATAGCCGTTAGGCAACTGCTGGTCCTGAGAAAGTCCAAATTTCTAATAGATGGGAACTTTGACTTGCCCAATGGTGGCAGCAAGGGTAGGGCACATAAATGTCTAACGATAATTGTGATGTTCAGAATATAAAATAATTCAACATTCAGTTTAATAAATAATGTTGTATAGAAGGCACTCTGTGGGGCCAGGTGGCGTGGTGGTTAAGGTCGCTGGGTTCCCACATGGCCGACCATGGTTCGAGTCCTGGACCTGGCAGCTTGCTTTCTTAATCCCCTCCCTCCCCCCATTCTGTCCCTCTCTGGTCAAATTAAAGAAAGAAACAAACAAAGGAAACAAAGAAAGAGAGAGAGAGAGAGTGCGCGAGAGAGAGAAAGAGTTAGTTAAATCTTTAAAAAAAAAAAAAGCACTGTTCTTGGCTCTGGGAATGTAATAGTGGCAGGATAGATAAATAGCTCTGCCTTCAGGGAGCTTATAATCTAGTCTTATTTGAAAATTAGCATTCTTATATTTATAGAGCTTTCAGTGCAAAAGGTACATGTACCTTGAGGTTGAAGGAAGATACTGTGTATGTTGTGCTTGGCACAATGTGTCAGATTATTTTAATAATTCATTTGCTTCTGTTCCTTGTACTCAAGGCTGTTTGCTTCCAGCATCAGTTAAGGGACCTTGGAATGGTGACTTAGGCTGACCTGGTCTACTGCACCTCAGTTGTTAGACTGGCTGATTTCTGGTCTTAGGTTTTCTCATCTGTAAAACAGGAATAAAAGTATTTGCTTTATATTAGATTGAAATGAGAATGTAAAACTATTCTGTGTAATTTTTAGCTACTTAGAATAAATTTTATCTTGAGGCTCAGTTGCTGTGGCATAGCAGAAATGTGGGTGCCCTATGGAGACTGGAAGTCACATACTAACCTTGGGTTTGGATCTCTGGGTCAGCTGCCAAACCATGGGTGTCTAGGATCCTAAGGAGCTAGAGGACTGGGAACAAGGAATCATAGCATGACAAGGCCCTGTTGATTGGACTTTCTCAAAATCTCATGTGTGTGTTCTTTGGCATAAGAAGGGAAAAGAAATTTGGGGGGCCTGGATGATGGCACAGCAGTAAAATGCTGTGCTCTGTGAGGCAGATTACATGGGAAGGTTTCTGGTTCATGTCTGGAGACCTTCCTGAGTATACATGCGTGTGAATGTGCCCATGGTTCAGGCTGGCTGAGGCTGGGGGTGGATCTCCCCAATGATCCTCTCTCCAGGGTGCCATATAGCTCACACTCACAAATTAAACTTTTTAAATAAATTAATTTCATTTTTAAAACCAGTTAAAGTACAACTGTGTTAGGGATATAAGTCAGAACTCAGAAAATCATCTGGGAACAAGGAATCATAGCATGACAAGGCCCTGTTGATTGGACTTTCTCAAAATCTCATGTGTGTGTTCTTTGGCATAAGAAGGGAAAAGAAATTTGGGGGGCCTGGATGATGGCACAGCAGTAAAATGCTGTGCTCTGTGAGGCAGATTACATGGGAAGGTTTCTGGTTCATGTCTGGAGACCTTCCTGAGTATACATGCGTGTGAATGTGCCCATGGTTCAGGCTGGCTGAGGCTGGGGGTGGATCTCCCCAATGATCCTCTCTCCAGGGTGCCATATAGCTCACACTCACAAATTAAACTTTTTAAATAAATTAATTTCATTTTTAAAACCAGTTAAAGTACAACTGTGTTAGGGATATAAGTCAGAACTCAGAAAATCATGTAAGTATTTAAGTCTACTAGAAAGGTATGGTATATCATCTTTCTTACTGCTTTAATCTATTAGAACAGGTTATAGGAAAATACTTACATAAAATTGTTCCTATGAATCAACAGCAGCATTGCTATTTTGTTCCTCAAGGTGGAGCTCTTGTTTATCAGACTAGTTTTTATTTTGACATCTTTAAGAAATTAAGAAGTGCTAAGTTTCTTTTTTTTTTCTTTTTTTTAAATAGGTATGACTGGTATCAAACAGAATCCCAAGTAATCATTACACTTATGATCAAGAACGTTCAGAAGAATGATGTAAATGTGGAATTTTCAGAAAAAGAGGTCATTAGTCGAACCACTTTTTTTTTTATTGAGGCTAAATATTGTTATTTGCAAAGTTGGTATATTGAGGAAAATCTGTAGCAGTTTTATCTCATATGTTTCATTTCTTCCTCAGACAGTGTGGAAAATGCTGAATAAAATCTGAGGCATTGCTTTTAAGTTTGAATTATTTTATTTATTTATTTATTTTTGGAGAGGTTTTTGCTATAAGGCACGTGTGCTCGCCAGACAGACAGAGACAGAGAGACAGAAAGCGAGAAATCACCCCCCCAGGGATAATGGCCATGCCGCAATCCCTTCTCCTCTATTCTCCTCTCGGGATCTTGGGCACACATGCACACATGCGCGGCGTGTGTTTAAGCCGCCGGGTCCGGGACTTGAACTATGGTCGATTATGTGGAAATCCAGCGACATAGCCATTACGCTAACTGCTGGTCCCAAGTTTGAATTATTTTAAGATTTAAAGAACATTTATAGGTTACAGCTAGACTTGCATGTTTTTCTTAGATTTGGAATTCAGAGCAAAACTTAGTTTGACAGTAAGATACATAGTTTGGTTACTCTTGTGTAGTATGCTAGAAAAAAGTAGAAGAAAGTTACTTTTTGTGTTAGCTATTATGTGACTTATATATATGTTAACATTTACTAACTGTATTAAATAAGTATTATTTTTTCTCCTCTTCCTTTTTCTTTCTTTCTTTTTTTTTTTGTTAGGTTTTTGCCATAGTGCATTTGTGCTTACCAGAGAGAAACAGTGAGAGGGAAAGTGAGAAATCACTCACCAGGGGAGATGGCTACACTGCAGTCCCTTTCTCCTCCATTCTCCTCAGGATTTTTGGCATGCATGCATATGGGTCCAGAGTGATTTTTTCTTTTTCTTTTTCTTTTTTTGGTCAATCTGTTGGGTCCAAGACTCTAACCAGGGTTGGCCATGTGGGAGTCCAGCACTTTAACCACCATGCCATCTGCTGACCCAAGTATAAAGATTTTTGCCATAGAGTGAGTGTGCTTGCCTATGTGTGTGTGTGGGGGGGGGGGGGAGTGAAAAACCACTTTTCAGGGATGCTGGGATGTCCTCAATCCCTTCTCCATTCTTTTTGGATTTTGGACACACACCTGGTATGATTTTCAAGTTTCTAGGTGCAGGACTCGAACCACGCTTAGCTATGTGGGAGTCCAGCACATAAACCACCACAGCACCTGCTGGCCCCTTCAGTATTAATCTTAATAACTTGGTTTCTTAGCATTTAGTAGAGAGCTAGTAGTAAGACTGTTTTTTTAAAAATATATTGGGAACCAGCAGTTGGCATGATGGCTGTGTCACTGGACTCCCACGTAGTCGACCGCGGTTCGCGTCCCGGACCCGGTGGCTTAAAACTCACGCTGGGCGCGTGTGCGTGCGTGCCCAGGATCCCGAGAGGAGAATAGGGGAGAAGGGATTGCAGTGTGACCATCCCCCCTGGGGGGTGATTTCTCGCTTTCTGTCTCTAATGTCTCTCTCTGTCTGGCGAGCACACGCGCCCTACAGTGAAAATCTCTCCCCCCCAAAAAAAAATTAATATTTCTTTTTGTTACATACTATATCATTTTATTCTTGTATATTTTCTTGAGATTTAGATGTTAAGTATGTGATTAAATGAGTGTTATGTATTATGAAACATTTTTCTGGTATTACGTATATGAGAATTCATGTGAAGGATATCATATGAGGGGCCAACCAGGTGGCATGATGATTAAGGAGACTGGATCCCACATTGCTGACAATATGGTTCAAGTCTCAGACCCAGCAGCTTGAAAAACACTCCAGGCACGTGTACATGTATGTCACAAAATCTTGAGAGAAGAGTGAAGGGGAAGGCGTTGCAGGATAGTCGATCTAATACTCCACATAAAATGTTTAAAATAATCTGTAACACTGTTGAAGTTCTAGAATTACTCAATTTAAGTATTTTACTGTTCATTTTATAAATTTACAAAATGTGTAATGTGTTGCTAATTTTGTTTCCTTAGTTGTCTGCTTTGGTCAAACTTCCTTCTGGAGAGGATTACAATTTGAAATTGAGACTTCTTTATCCTATAATACCAGAACAGAGCATATTTAAAGTGCTTTCAACAAAGGTAAGACGATTGAAGAGATTGACACTGGTAATATTTTCAGAATACAGAAGTGTGTGAACTTATTGCATGATTATGAGCTTGTAGATCTTTTCAGATATATGTCTCAATTAAAAGGGACAGCCCCTGGGAACTAGCAGTAATGGCTATGTCGCTGGACTCCCACGTAGTCGACCACGGTTCGCATCTTAGACCTGGTGGCTTAAAACTCACGCCGGGCGCATGTACGTGCGTGCCCAAGATCCCGAGAGGAGAATGGAGGAGAAGGGATTGCGGCATGGCCATCCCCCCTCAGGGGTCATTCTTTGGTTTCTGTCTCTGTCTCTCTCTGTCTGGCGAGCGCTTGCACCCTATAGCAAAAACCTCTCCAAAAAATAAAGAAAAAAAAGAAAGGGACAGCCCCAACTGGCATGGTGGTTAAGGTGCTGACTCCCACTTGGCTGCATCCTAGATCTGGTGGCTTGTTTTCTCACTGTGTCTGTCCGTCCCTGGTGAGCACATGTGATCTATAGCAAATTAATAAATAGTGATAATAAAATATTTTTAAAAATTAAAGGGACAGGTAAATAAAAGTTATTTTTGGGTATCGGGGGTTTTTCCACCAAGATTCTAGTATAGTAGACAGAAAAGAAATCTGCTTGGCTTATGTGATATTTGTATATACTAATACTAAAAATAAATATAATATTTTTCAGTAAAGAATTTTTTTTTTTTAAAGAGAGAGTTTTGTTATAGGGCACATGCACCTACAGACAGAAGGTCTGACATCACCCCCCAGGGGAACTGCCCATGCTGCAATACCTTCTCCATTCTCCTCGGGATTTTGGACATGCATGCACACATGGCCCAGCATGAGTTTAAACCTCTGGGTGTGGGACTTGAACCATGACTGACAATGTGGGAGTCCAGTGATGTAACCATTATGTCATCTGCTGATCCCCAGTGAAGAATTTTAAAGAGAGATGTAATAATCAGCTTCTAAGACTGAATGCTGACAATGTCTCCTCTCTCAAACTTACCAGTTTGATCTCTTTTGATGTACAAATACTTTTGTACTTCACTTATTAAAAATACAAACTATTATAGGGCTAGCAGGTGCTATGGAGGTTAGGGTGGCTCGATCTCACAAAGGCCAACTGCATAGTGCAGGTCCCAGATCAGTGGCTTGAAAAAGACTCCAGGCCCATATGTATGTGCCTGGAATCCTGAGAGGAAAATAAAGGAGTTGAGATTGTGGCATGGCCATCCCTTCTGGGGGTACTTTCTTTCTTTCTTTTTAAATTTGACCAGAGAGGGACAGAGAGAGAAAGTGAGAAGGCAAACTGGTTCTGGAATTCAAACCATGGTCAGCCATGTGGGAGTCTAGCACCCTTAATCACTACACCTCCTCCTGGCCTCATGGGGGTACTTTCTTATTTTCTCTCTCTCTCTCTCTCTCTCTGTCTATCTGTCTCCCTGGGGAGTGCATGCACTTTATTGGAAAAAAAAACTATTGGGTTGTCAGAAAAGCCATGATGTATTTTCCTATGCAAAAAGGTATCATGACTCTTCTGACTATTCAGTAATATAGAGCTAAGTCTATCTTTTTTTTCCTCCAGTTAATCTGAAATTTTTAATTACTTTATTATGAGGGAATAATGGAATAATTTTATAATTTTTAACAAAGGAATAAAAATAGGGACCAGCAGATGGTGTAATGGTTTCGTTGCTGGGCTCCCATGTAATTGACCATGGTACAAGACCGAGACCTGGTGGCTTAAAATTCATGCTGTGCACTTGTGTGTGTGTGCCTAAGATCTCAGGAGAATGGAGAAGAAATTGTGGCTTGGCCCTCCATCCCCCAGGGGACAATTCTCGCTTTTTGTCTCTCTTGGTCTCTCTGGTGAGCACATGCACCCTAAAGCAAAAAGTCTTTCTCTTAAAAAAAAAAAAAAAAAAAAAGGGCCAGTAGGTGGTGTGGTGGTTAAAGTGCTGGACTCTGATGTGGCCAGACCGCAGTTCAAGTCCCAGACCTGGTGGCTTGCTTTCCCACTTTCCCTTTCCCTCTGTCTCTCTCTTACCAAATTCAAATAAAATAACAAATTAATAAATAAATAATTAGTAAAAAAAAATAAGTTAAAAGGAGTAAAAATGAACAGTATAACAATAAAGAGTATCATAAATCACTCAAACGATGGAGGTATTATTGGCTTGTTGGAAAAGTAATGACATATTTTTCTATACAAAAATGTGTCATATCTTTTCTGATGAGCCAATAATAAATTTAATGGGAAAAATAGTGAACTAAAAATCTAAAAATGTGATTCTGGCACTTTGCTTACCTGATAAATTTAGTCTAGTCAAAAAATGATTATAGAGCTAAAATTTTAGCATCTATAAAAAGAGGGATATAGACTAAATAAACTCTGAAGTCCTTTCAACTGTAGGTTTACATGAAGGGATATGATAGATGAGTTAGTGAGAGTTAAATAAGTAGACTTTTTCTATTACTATACCTTTTTTATACACAGGTCCCATCTTAACTTTTTTTTTTTCGTAGAGGTTTTTGCCTTCAAGTGTATGCCCTTGCTGGAGAGAGAGAGAAAGAGACAGAGACAGTGAGAGGGAAAGTGAGAAATCACTCTCCCAGAGGGGATGGCCACAGCGTAATTCCTCTCCTTCATTCTCTTCCTGGAATCTTGGGCACACACACATACAAGCGCCCAGTGTGAGTTTTATGCTACAAGGTCTGAGACTCAAACCTGGTCAGCCCTGTGGGAGACCCACCTGCTGCCCCAAACGTCATTAACTATTAAGTTCTTAAAAACATATGAACTTCCTTATTCTGGGATCAGATCAGGGTCATTGTGTGTCATGAACAGTAACTGAGCCTGAGCCTGCAGAAAAAAGACAGCTGCAGAGGGTTAGAGCAAGGAGTGCAAAGTAGTTATTTTGCATCTAGTTAAAAAAGATCTGCCTATTTATTTATTTATTTGAAGATGGCCAAGAACAAACCTGTTTAATTATGAGGAAGATAATAGGAAACAGCTGCTTGGAAAGTGAGAAAGGGTGAAACCTCGACAGGATTTTAGTCTGTCACTGGCCCTTTCCACATAGTATAGAATTTATTTAATATGAGATTTTTTAGTATTAAAGCACAAAACTTTAGGTATACTGGAGAAGTAGACAGGACAGAAAATAATGAATTTGGTATTTCTGTGTAGATTTCTACCAAGAGACTTCATGTCCAGTTGAAATAGTTTAAATGTAAATTGATTTGTGTGAGTAGATAATAAATGTCATAAGAATTTGTATTACTTAGCCAGCCCATATGGAAGAATAAGTGTGTGTAGTGAATGTACAAATCTGTGTGGTTAGAGTTGAGGGTATAAACAGTTGTCTCTTACTCTTTATTCTCCTTCAAATCTGTGTGGGTACTTGTTTTAATTTCCTCAGTTCCACCTTACTGTGTTCTGTTTGTCTTTTTCACCTCTCTTCAAATGATATATAAAACCACTTTTCTTCTTTCTGTAGTAGTTCATTTGTATACACATTTTATTTCCCTTGTTATTATGTACATCTTTTGAGGATAAAAAGCATATCTTATGTATCTTTATTGTGCCCCAGTTAGGATTGCCAGATAAAGTTCAGGATGCCCAGTTAAATTTGTGTTTCAGATAAACAGTGAGTAACCTTTCAGTATGTATATATGTGTTCTGTGCTGCTTTTTATTTGCCAAATTTGGCAACCATTGCTACCTGCCTTGCATATAGTGTGTGTTCAATAATAGTTTTTCAGTGAGTGAGTCTTAATTGTGTGTTGAGGGCTGGTCTTGTAGCCTAGTGATTAAGGGATCTGGAGCCCACATGGTTGACTGTGGTTTGAATCCCGGCCTCAGTGACTTGAAAAGCACGCAGGGATATGTATGGGTGTGTGTGCTCAAATCCTGATAGGATGGAGAGATGGAAAAAAGATTGCAGTATAACTATGCCCACTCCCCACTATAGGTGTTTTCTCTGTCTAGTGAGTAAATGTGGCCTCTAACAGTAAAAGAAGATAACTAACTGAACTAATAAATTGGATGTTTATGTTAGCTCTATGAAATTGGTGGAGTATTTTTATTCTTACAGTAACTTTATAGGTGGAAAAAAACTAAGGTTCATGGACTTCAAACAACTTCCCCCAGTTTACATAATTACTACATTGTTCAGCCTGGCCCAGGAGACATACTTTTTATTTGTGACTGCAACCCAAAGCTAGTGCTTCTTTGCTTCGGTTTTTCTAAGTTAAGGGTTGAAGATTTTAGAGTCTTAAGTACGGATTCTGTAGCAGAAGTCCCCACCCTTCCCAGCACCAGGGACAAGTCTTGTCTAGGACATTCTCTCCATGGATCTAGGGGTGGGAGAAAGTTCGTACAGGGGTGACCCAAGTATACCATATCAACTGTGTACCCTATTTCCTCCACTGCACATTGAAGTATACAATGAAATAATTAAAACAATAGAATTTGCACTCCTATGAGGAATATACCACTGCTGATCTGACAGGAGGCAGAACCCAGGTGGCAGTGTGAGCAGTGGGGAGCGACTGCAAACACAGATGAAGCCTCTCTTACTTGCCCACCACCTACCCCCACCCTACTGCGCAGACTGACTAGTCTATGGCCTGGCCCCAACAGGCCACAGATCAGCACCAATCTACAGCCTGGGGACCCATGTTCTAAAGGCTATTATTTTAGTGAACTAAAGGATGATTTTTTTCTCTTGTCTTAATTCTAGAATCTACATATACATCTGACAAATTTATACACATATAACTTAGACTACTAACGTTTGAACTATTTTATGGAAAACAGGCATTTCTAAAATTATAAGGGAAATAATTGATGAAATATTTGAATCCTCTCCTTTTTCATACAGTAGAGGGAGACAATGTTAAAATATTGAAAATCTCTGGGTTACTGAAGCTTAGATAGTCATGACACTAAGAGGGAAAAGTATAGAAATCTTGTTTAGTCATTTTCA